CATCTGGTCTGTTCCTGTTTGGCTGTGACTCCATCCTGGAGAGAAATATCAGCTGTGCTGCTGCCATCAACACCTTTGTTTCTAGATGGATGAATCGTAAAATATATGTAGTTTCAGAATAATGAAAATGAAACATTGAATGAAGGATCAACGGTTTAATGTTTATTTGAAGACCAAATAAAGATGAAGGTCCGACAGAAGAAAATGAGAGAAAAAAGTTTGTATTTGATATAAATGTTTTTCAAGGTTTTAAGCATAGAAATCTCTTTTTTTTATTTCATAAGAATATAGAATCATTTACAGAATATTTCACCCAAAATATCAATGTAAATCAAAAAACTAATGACTGCCTTATGCTCTATAAATAAAAGAAAAACTAAGGTTTGAATTTTAACAGTAAGCAGAGATAAACCTGATTTTAGTCAGGAGATAAAATCAGACTTGGCTGCAAAATGCAGAAGAATCTCAGTATTTTCAAACATCTTTCTTCATTTATGGAGATATGCATCCAGCCAGAGTTCCCCAGAAGATTTCAGTGAACTAAGAAACGGAAAAAAAGCAGAAAGAATGTGATTAATTTCACCATATTTTATATTGGAGCTTCATGTTTTCTATAATAATAAAACAGAATCAGAGGAAGGTGTCAAACTATTCTCCTAATGCTAATTTTATAAACTATTTTATTTATTGTTTTTTAGCATTGATTAATTGTATTTTATGATTGTATATATTTGGTCCTGTTGGCTGTTGAAAGTGCATTATGGTACTTTATCTATTTAAAAAGGAAACTTTTTATACACCTTTAGCTCATACTGATAGTGATTTTTTTTACCTGACAACATCAGCCATTGCTCGCCATAATGTCTTCGTTCCGTAAGGGACGCCATGCTTCTCACACAGGGCGCGGACGCGCTGGGCCACCAGGTGGTAGTTGTGGCGCGGCATCATGGGAAACAGACTGAAAAAAAAAACAATAAGGTGTCTAAGAACATGTTTGCTTCGTGCATCAATGTGTTTATTTTCAGGTTTAAATCGATAGAGGAGGATCTTTTATTTCTGGATCATCTCAATCAGTGGTCCTCCTGACTGTCAATCATTCTGGTGATGTATTTGCTCGTCAGGAGGACCACTGATTGAGATGATCCAGAAATAAAAGATCCTCCTCTATCGATTTAAACCTGAAAATAAACACATTGATGCACGAGGCAAACATGTTCTTAGACACCTTATTGTTTTTTTTTCAGTCTG